GGCACTCGTGGTTAGTACTGCAAGAACATATTTGCCAGGCAGACCTCTGTGAAGTGCCATGCACACTCACATATGGTTATGCACCCACCTCATCCTGTTAAGAAAACTGCTCTAGAGGTGAACACTAGCAGTACTAAAAGAAATTAATCAATGAACAGAACTGGCTCAGCCCCCCTGTCCCTTACTTAATACCCCCTCTGCTTGCTCTGGAGAGGGACTGCTGTGGTTGCAGGCCAAATAGCAGAAAGGCTGCAGCGAGGTTGTGGGAACACCCTCAGGTTTTGATTTTTCTACTCCTCAGTTAAAAGGGAGGTGTGAAAACTTCTTAAAGTAGACCTGAGCACTCAGGGTGGAGGGACTGGCAAAGGACTATGACAGGAGCTGAACAGCAATATTGAAAAAGGGAGAAAAGAAAAAAAATAGAGTTTTGATAAATAAAATATTATATGATCCATTTTTTATGCAGGAGCATAGAGTGTGCTGGCCTGCTCTTTCCTGATGGTATAGCATGTCAGCTGGCACAGCTTCCCGGGGGGATGCCTGCCGTGTGTGCAGTACCTACACTTTTCTGCAAGCAGGAGCCATTTGGCTGAGGAAGAGGAATGCAAGAGCATGAGGGGAGGAAGGCAAGGGGGAGGAAAAAAACAGCTCCAAACCTTAGGAACCCTTCAGCCAATACGCCATCCAGAATGCCTCCACCTTCAGCCTCAGCACAGGGGTTCCCAGAAGAAGACAACTCCATGGTAGCAAGCAGGCAAGGGATGGGGTAAGGCTGAGGTGAGAAACCAGCCTGTGGGAGAAGGAGGGGCCCCAGTGGGATTGCCCTGCAGTCAGGCTGCAGCTGCTACCACCCCACGCAGCAGGAGATGAAAGGCCAGAAAAAATGTTTAATGCTTGGGAAGCTGCTGCTGCCTGTCTGCCTGTCTCTCTGTATCCTAAGCACCTTTTTTGCAGCCCAAGGGAAATGATTTCTGCTCTATTGTTAGTTGATTGGACACTTGTCTAGCTGTTTGTCTCCATTTTAGACACAGAAACTGGTTTTTATTTTGGCTTCTTCTCTCCTAGGCGTTTCTGTGCAGCCTATGGCTGCAGGATGCAGGCATACACTGGTGGTCCTGCTCTCACACTCCCTCTTCACCTCCTTGCCATGACCCTAGGCCAGAGAGGCACACAGCCAAGAATTACTCTCCTCAAAATACTGAGGACGATCATAGTCCTCCTCCCAGTGAGAGGTGGTGGCCAGGTGGAGGGCAGGCTGACTCCACCTTGCTATTCAGCGCATTGCAGCAGCACGCTGAAGACCAGCAGACTCTGCTTTGGGCTGTGGTACAGTTCCCTGGGTTGACTCTGTTTCTTCAATCCCACCACCCGGTTTGGTGGCAGGGGCAAGGGAGGAGGTTTCGAACAGCCCAGCTCACACAGGAGGGCACCTTCTCAAGAGCAGCCCACTCTCTGAGTCCTCGCTGTGCTCAGGCCAGGAGGTCAAAAAGGGCAGCGCACCTCGGGCTAGGAAAATGATTCCTTCTTTTGGAGCCTGAAAGGAAAACGAGCTGCTTTGGAAATCCTGAGCCCCAGTACCTGAGCTCCTTTTAGAAAATGTGTTCATTTGGATTAATTTGAAATTCTGGATTTCAATCTATGTCCCAAAAAAGAGTTAGTACAGTACCACTAGTTTGCTGTACTCCTGAAATCTTCAAAAAATCTCCAAAAGCTAAGTTTTCATTGAGTCTATTTTTTTTTTAAATTACATGTCAGTACCTGTGCCAAACATCAGCAGTCAATACAGAACTTAGATGATAACAAATGTAATGTTAATTACATGGTTATTGTTACTCATTTTTTAATAAGCTCTTTATATGCAATCAAGTAATAAAGCAAAACTGAGGCTCTTTGCAAAGCATGCTGCTCCCAAGACAGCACACAAGAAGCCAGAAAAATCTCCAGAAAGGGCTCCAGACACTGGGGTGAGGTTCCTAATCATTGATCCCCAGGTCTTCTGACACTGCAGCCACGGTAGCTAATCTAGTAGCCTGGCAAAAGATACTGGCAAAGACCCCATTGCTCATGGCAGAATTTCCAGTTCTCTCTATGTTAAGTTGTTACGCTGCAATATTCTACACCTCAGCAGGAGCAGAAGCCTTACCCATTAGGAAAGGGAAAGAATTCCTGCTCCCCCTTTTGTATCAGTCCTGGAAGAGTCTAAGATAAAACACATCAAAAAGCTCTGATGATTTTATATGCAGGAGGATGACATTATTTTCGAGGATTCCCCCTGCCCTGTAAAGCTGGACTTAAGATTAGTAAGGCGCCTGGATTTGTTGCTGAAGGCATGCAGACAATGCGACTGATACAGTGAGCTAAAATGTCCTAAAACATTTGTAAAATACTTCATAATGCCAGACACAATCATATCTTTAATAGTAACACACAACAGCATAAAGGGTTTACTGACACGAATTGCAATATGCTGCCTTATTCCTGCATGACAGGGTTACTATATGGAGCTTGTTCCCAACAACAAAGCTGATAAAGCCAGATGCCATCCCTGCCAGCACGCATTGTATATCTGGGGCAACTTAGGGACCCGCTGATTGAAGGAAATCCTCCTCCTACCAAACACAGACTGGCAGCAGAGATGCTTCACAGCAGTTTTTTTCAGTCTTAACGACTGTAACAGCTTCTGCAATCTTTGTAAGGGAAGCGGACGAAAAGGAGCAGGAGATTGATTGTCGCTCCCCCTTTTGCCATATTACGAAAGGAACCACGTAGCAAGGGATGCGTAGGACGCCTCGGGGAAGGGAGATAAGGGAACAGAGGGGAGGAACATGGGCTGTAGAGATACAACCCCCAGTCCGCCTATGGGAGTCTGAAAGAAAGTATCTGAATGCTGATCTTTCTTAATACGCCTGAGCGTTAGAAAAGTTTGGCTTTCTGTCTGAGTCTTGCAACGTGAATCCACTCCTAGTCAGCAGGCGGTACTCATAACCAAGCCCCTTTTTCTGGATTGAAACTGGCCACCAGCAGGGAGGACACAGCCCAACAGGGACAGCACAGAGATGTCTGCTCCGGGATGCAGACATCAGTTAATGTTGGTGGTGGCGAGGGGTCAGGGAACCCTCTTGGCCCTGGTCTGTTCAAACCTGTCCAGTTTAAGGACCTGGCCCAAAAGGTCTTACTTATGCAGTACTTCTGGAGAAGCATTTTGGTGGAGTCCAAATGCAGGTGCAGTCTGCAGGGCTGCCTGTCAGGAGCAGAAATGCTGCTTGGGGAAGGAGACACAACACCTGTCCTAAACTTTCCTTATATAGGTCTTTTTGCCCCCCATTTTTTAAAGCATCTATTTGGTATTTACCTCAAAACCAGAGCCTTCATGCTCTGCAAACACAGGCCCACAAAATGACCAAAGCAGTTCTGGAACAAGACATCCAGAATATGATGAGAAGGGGAGGGGAAAAAATTAAGGGGAAGAAAAAAACAGCCAGCCCAGCAAACGGCATTTAAGTGTCTCTCTTATTCTCTCATTCCCTTGTTCAGTCATTTCTGTCCTGCTTTGAGTGTGCTGTTTTTATCTTCCTCGCTCTCATATAAAAGCCCAGCTCCCCTAGCGAGTGTGCAGATGATGATTTGGCATTGTCCAGGACCATTATGCTGTCAGCTCTCAAAGAAAAAAAGGCTTGTAAAAATCCTGTAGTCAGACAAAGGCAGAGCGTGCGGCTCAGGACAGTTTGTACTGCTGCCTGCTAATAACCTTTCTGAACAATAGCTTACATGGAAAGATCTTCCACAGAACATGAAATTCCTCTTTCAGCTTCACCTTCACTTACTTCTAATTACTGTTCTGCTCTCAGCTGTATGCATGCTACATATGCAAATCCCCTTTCAACCTCTTTCGCACAGAAACAGAGGTGCATCTCCCTCCCCCTGGTCCTGTTCTACTGCCGTCCAACACTACCCTTGCACAATCCACCACATGCTCACTACTACTCCCAGTTCAGTCTAGCTACACGCAAATTCATTCACATACATGGTCTCCACCACTCCCAGCAATTTGGCTCCTGCTCTGCTCTCGGGTATATGAAGTTCAGCTTAACGCATGCTATTTTTCTTTCTTGACTTATTCAGGAACAGATATTTGAAAGAAAATGAAGATGCCCAAGAAAGCCATTTCTGTTAAAGACCTAAGATAGGGTCAATGGCTTTTTGCAAAGCACAGAAAGTCAGCAAGTTTTCTTGAGGCAAATTAAAGAGGGAAGAACTGCCACGTGCATCAGTGGTGTGAGCAGATAATTGACCCAACTTCTCCTGAGCCCCAGCAGTGTTGGGTCCATTGCAGCCCAAGCTATACAGGCTGATTCTTCTGCTCAGCTTGTAGAGGCTTGGGCCCTGACAGAAGAACTGAGGTGACCTTTCTATCTCAGACGATTTATGACATTATGATCTCCAGCATTTGCTCTGGCATAGATTACCAGCTCCATGACAGAGCCAACAGGAATATGCGCATTGTGTGCCAGTGCATCAGCTGTCCCTGTTTACAGCATTGGACCGCTGCTGATAGCAGGTTTGGGCTAAGATGCTGGACAGTGAAACTAAGCTGAAGCGTGGTCATGTCTGTCTTTCTGGCAGCTTAGCTCTCGCACAAGTCGCTCACTCCTGTCATGTATACAGCCACCTACCAGCATCTCTGCTTTCAGAGAATCATAGAATCATTTAGGATGGAAAAGACCTTTAAGATCATCCAGTCCAACAGTAAACCTAACACTGCCAAGTCCACCACTAAACCATGTCCCTAAGTGCCACATCCACACGTCTTTTAAATACCTCCAGAGATGGTGACTCAACCACTTCCCTGAGCAGCCTGTTCTAATGCTTGACAACCCTTTCAGTGAAGAAATCTTTCCTAATATCCAATCTAAACCTCCTCTGGCGCAACTTGAGGCTCTTTCCTCTCGTCCTATCGCTCATTACTTAGGAAAAGTGACCAACCCCCACCTCGCTACAACCTCCTTTCCTGCCAGAGGAGCCTGCAACACCATACAGCCAGTTCTGGGGATACCCTAGTTTACAGGAAAGATTGGAATAGCTAAATCTGACAAGTGCAGGCTGCCCCCTCTTTGAAACAATCCTCGAATGAGTGCAAGGATTTGTCAGTATGTAAATGGGGTTGTGAGGCTGCTACATGAACAAAACAGCACAGCAGTACCTGGAAAGGAGACTGGAAATGGGCTTGGAAGTGACCTTTGCTCTATATGCACCTAAGCCAAGGTCAATGTGCAGTAACTCTAAACGCAAAAGTGTGGACAGGCTCTGATCTCTGCTACGCCTCCCTAATGCCAGATGTACACTACCACAATCGATGGTGTTAACTCTAGACTTACATCCCTCTCCAAAAGGCCAGGATGTGGCCCATAGGGTTTACAGTGAGGGAAGCAAGAGCAAGCTCGGGGCTTGCGGGCTTTCGGCAGTGTATTTGCTGAGCTGGGACTAGTTCCTGTTTGCTGTCTGTTGATTTTAATGAAAGTCACGTATCTAAAGCTAGGAACAGGAAAGCTGTGTGGAATCCAAGGTTTTGCAAGTGTACTGAACAATAACAACATGCACTAGGGATGCACTAGGGATGAAATCCACCCTGAAAAACTAGGGCTGCCAGGAGGAGCAGCAGTCTTTAAGCTCTGAGCTCTTTTCTGGGCAGGGCCATGTCCTGCTGTCTTTTACCAGAATGTCTACTCCAAATAATGCTGCATTTATCTTAGCTGACAAACATTTACCGGAGCTGGTGACATAAAGGCCCATGCCTACTGAAACAAGAACCTAATTCAGGCAACAAAATAAGCTGTATCTAAGATGCACGTCAGGCACAAACTGGCTGGAAAGAGGCCACACGAGGTGAAAACCTGGGTCTGTAAGACGAGTTTGGTGTTCTTTGGGTGCTCCAGTTGTAGGCACTGCTCCAATCCTTTTATCACTGCAAACAGTTTGACCAGCCCTCAGAAACACCCTGAGTGCATGAAGTGCTTACAGGGAGTGGATGTGCTGTCAGACCCCTTCATAACCCACTCACTGGGGCGTGGAGTGGGAAGGGACAGGGCAAAAGCTCTCTGGGCTGGAGCTGGTCACAGGGGCTAATACCAGTCCTTTAGGGATGCTCTAGTGTATGTCAGCAGCCAGGACAGGTGGCCAAAATCCCCAAGCAGCCTGCGTAGCTCTGGACATGGCCCGATGGCAGAGAGGGGCAGGGAACCCGGTAGCTGTGGGGAACTACAGTATGATATATTTTCCTTCTCCCCACTACAACTTCCTGTGACCCATTCCTGCCAGCCTCAAAATTAAGGTCCACTCACCATGCACATCTACCAAGTCCTGCTTTAGTAAAACATCACCTCATCACTTTCTGAGCACTCACATATGCCTGTGTCAAGGTCACCACTGTATATGTAGCTTCTGGCTTAGATTCGCTCTTTATTAATATTTTTCTTTTTCTCGCTCTTTTTCCACTTTCTTCTTGTGCTAAGCTATCATGAGCAGAATGAAAACCTGACATACTTTCCAGCCCAAGATAGCTAGTGGTTTTACCTCCCTAGACAAATCATCTCACACTTCTTTGGAAAATATGAATGCATTTCCCTGTGGTCCATGACATCTGAAGTATCCTGTCATTATCATTAAGTGAAGGAGAGCCTTCAAAGGCTGTGGTGTCGTCCCCAGGTACTTCAGTATATGGTGTTAGGAGCAGGGCCTAGATCACCACAATGTTTTGCTCACTGTTAACGCCAGACATTCAAGTCTCTCTAATTTCCAGCACAGCAGAGCCCACTTGAAGAAGTTCATGGTCTTACCCAGCAGTGCAAGAAATGGGCTCTTTATGGAGTATGAAATCCATTTTCCCCAAGTCTTCATTTGGACTGTGCTTTATGACATGAGAAGAGGCAGTAAGTGAATAAAGCACTACATTCTTGCAGACTGACGGACAGATGATCCCAGCAGACTGTATCTGTATCTCCCCTTTCCTCTGCTGTATATTTGCTAGGCTGTCAGTCTTAAAGCCAAAATTACTTGGGAACCTAGACTTTCCCGAGATTTTTTTCCCCTGCTCATTCCAGAGAAGGAACTGGAAGTTAACATAGGAGTAAGGGCAAGGAAAGGGAGAGATATCAGTTTTGGCACCTGTAAAGCTTAGATAAGAGGAAAAGTGATGAGTGAGGAGCTTGGACTCAGCTGAACTGCAAATGCAGCACTGCAGCCAACGCAGAGTGGCTGCAAGAGAGCATGTACTAGCTTCACAGCAATACCAGACAGCGGGGGTGGGAAAGTGCTTACTGAATTCATTCTCTTGACATCCAGGAAGATAGAAAAAGGGAAAGGGAGGCAAGCAGGGACTAAGGTCGCTTGCCAGAGCCAGAGAGAACCAAGAATGAGAGCATACTAAAACTGTTCCCTTAGTTCCCTGCCCCTAACCAGAACATGCAGGTTTTCTTCATGCAGGAGGGAAACAATCATGTAAGAGACAGAAAACCCATGAGTTAGTTACTGGAGCTATGGCAAGCAATTCTGGGAACAGCTGCATTTTTTCCCCTTCGCTCAAAATAGAAGTTAAAACAAAGGAGCTTTTTTTTCTTTTCCCCCCCCATGTCGTGGTTTAACCCCAGCCAGCAACTAAGCACCACACAGCCGCTCGGTCACTCCCCCCCGGTGGGCTGGGGGAGAGAATGGGAAGAGTAAAAGTGAGAAAACTCATGGGTTGAGATAAAGACAGTTTAATGGGTAAAGCAAAAGCCGCGCTCGCAAGCAAAGCAAAGCAAGGAATTCATTCACTACTTCCCATTGGCAGGCAGGTGTTCAGCCATCCTCAGGAAAGCAGGGCTCCATTTATATACTGAGCATGATGTCATATGGTATGGGATAGCCCTGGGGCCAGTCTGGGTCAGCCCCCCCGGCTGTGCCCCCTCCCAGCTCCTTGTGCACCTGGCAGAGCGTGGGAAGCTGAAAAGTCCTTGACTGGTGTAAGCTCTGCTCAGCAAGAACCAAAACATCAGTGCGTTATCAACATTATTCTCATCCTAAATCCAAAACACAGCGCTCTACCAGCTACTAAGAAGAAAACTAACTCTATCCCAGCTGAAACCAGGACACCCCAGCAGGGAGGATAATCTTCTCCAAGAGAGAGGGAGATCATCTGTACAGAGCACCCCTGTTTCAGAGAAAGTCTGAGGAGGGCAATGCAGTCCCTTCTGATCTGAAAATAACCTTCCTCTCGTGGTCACGTTCCCAGCTGGCATCACCCTGCTTGCTTTGAAGGCAGCCAGAGCAATTCACACCAGTTGGGAATCTCACCTGCTGTATTAATGGGTTTCCCTGGAGATGCTGCTTGGTACGTGGTCCCCTGGCCCCGCTGCTCTGCTCTGCTCTGCTCTGCCCAGCATGGGATCCCAACAGCCCAGAAATTCCCTCTGTGCTGGTGAATGAGCCGAGGCTGCTGCTCTGCCCGAGCATCCTCGCTAATTCTGCACATCGCTTTGGGTTCATATTCACTCACTGTACCCCTCAGTCACCAGCTGACATGGGCTACTTAGATCTCCTAGCCTTTCAGCTGCCTGGTTTGCCTGCCTACCTGTGCTTGTGCTTCCCAGCTACCTCTTTCCTGCATCCAACATTGCTTGCTGCCCAGACAGTGCAGCAGCACAGACAGACAGGCTCTCACCCTTTACATCCAGCCCCAACTTCTCTCAGCTGCTTTCACCCCTGCACTTTCCTGTACTGAACTGTGAGATGCCACTGATGGGAAGAAATCAGCTTTCCAGACCCTCTTGCTAGACAGGGAATGAATGCTTCTTCCCTCTCTACCCAAGACACAAAAATGGCCTATTCTCCAATAGCATCATACATGGGTTCAAACAGTCAATACTTCCCCAACACAAATGCAAGAAAGGAGGATGAAATGCAAGAGGAAAGAAAAGAAAGGCTTCTTCTAAAAGCAAAGCCCCCAGTCTAGCATCTCAGTGGTGCAATCTCAAAGGCCACTAAAATCAGGCTACAGTGAAGCAGCAGCAGGGGAAATAGTATAAAATCCCCTCTCTTTCTGGAAATAAGAGACAATATTTGGCCAAAGTTCAGTGAAGGAAGGTCAGGGGACAGGTGGAGAGGGAGGGGGAGAACAAGAGAGTGTGCATGCAAACAAACTCCAGGCAGATTTTCAGACCTTAGGTCTTTTTTACCAGCTTAACCTTCGGTCTGCAGACAACGCTGGCTGGGATGTAGATGGTTCAATATGAGCGTTGTGTGGAGCACAGGCAGCGGGGCCAGATTGGTCCCTTGTGTAACTCTGCCAATTTGAGCAGGAACCGATGAGACACCCTGACTTCAGTGCAGCTGTGTTGTGGTGAACTTATGAGGTAAGTGCATGTGTGAAGGTTGCAACTAGATCTGTTTTCCCATGGGACACTGCACATGGGAGTGAGATTTTTTTTTCCTCTCTTTTTGTTTCTCCAAGAATATCCTTGAAATAGATGGAGATTTTTTGTAATAAAAAGAGGATAACTGGGCTTGCCATAAATCTCTGTGATGTATTTTCAACAATCCCTGCACCCTGGGTGGCTCAGCTTGGGAGGCACTTTCTAAGTAGTAGCAGTGGTGTATACTAGCGGTGAAATAATATTTGGAGCACCGTACAGCAAAGGTAAAACTAGGGCACCACACAAAATAATTGTTCCAGTTTCAAACAATCACCACGTGTGGCCTAATGGCTCAGCTATCGAGTAGCAGCCAGGAATGGCTTCCATAGTTGCTGAAGATGACGAGGGCAGATGGGAACTGCACTGGCAGTAGCACAAATCCATCTGTGGCCTGGCCAAAAGGCAGACAGCTGGTTTCATACCTGTTTCCCTCCTACAGCTGAGAATAACTGGCTGCCAGGCCAGTTCCAGGTTCAAGCCCCAGGGTGGGAAATCAGCAGACAATCAGCTGACATCTGTTGATTTGATGGGATCATGAATGCCTTCCCATATTTGCATTACC